ATTAACTTTTCAAGGTGGTCGAATAATTTCGAAATTTTCATACTGAAAAATTTTGGTTTTGAAAAAGTTGTTCAAGCATTCTCAAAAAATTGTGAGATATAGGTTTCGACGTACTAATTCCGAAAATATAACGTTTTATGGTTCCAAGTCAAGATTTTAGAAATACTCGGATTGAAATGAAATTTTTAAAAACGTCGTATTTCGATAGCCGATTTTGGCAAAATGTAGGAGTGTTCAAAAAAATAAGGCCCGAATAATTTATGGAAGTTGGAAAGTACAAAAAAATGTTGAAGGTGGCTGCAAAAATTAAAAATTTTCATAAGGATATATGGAAAAATTTTGGTTTTGAAAAAGTGGTTCAAAAAGCCTCAAAAAATGCTGGGAAATATGTTCCGACCTGCTGACTCCAAAAATAAAGCATTGCGTGGTCCCAGTACAAGATTTAGAAATATTAGATTTGAATTGAAATAAAAAAATCCAAAAAATGTCATATTTTAGTGGGTGATTCCGGGAAAATCGTAGGAGTTATTGAAAAAACGAGGCCAAAAACAACTTCTGGAGGTCGAAATGTACAGAAAAATGTCTCTAGTTTAGTCTCTAAGGTGGTCGAAAAAATCTGAATTTATTATTTTTTGTATTCCATTAGATATGAGATTTTTAAAAAATAAAAAAAATGTCATTTAAATGGACAATTCTGGAAACATAATAATAGGAGTTATCCAAAAATGGGGCCGAAAGTAAGTTCTGGAGTACGAAATGTACAAGAAAATGTCTTTAATTAAGTGGTCGAAAAATTCCGAAATTTTCATAATGAAAAATTTTGGTTTTGAAAAAGTTGTTCAAGCATTCTCAAAAAATTGTGAGATATAGGTTTTGACGTACTAATTCCGAAAATATAAGTTTTATGATTCCAAGTCAAGATTTTAGAAATATTCGGATTGAAATGAAATTTTTAAAAACGTCGTATTTCGATAGCCGATTTTGGCAAAATGTAGGAGTGTTCAAAAAAATAAGGCCCGAATAATTTATGGAAGTTGGAAAGTACAAAAAAATGTTGAAGGTGGCTGCAAAAATTAAAAATTTTCATAAGGATATATGGAAAAATTTTGGTTTTGAAAAAGTGGTTCAAAAAGCCTCAAAAAATGCTGGGAAATATGTTCCGACCCGCCGACTCCAAAAATAAAGCATTGCGTGGTCCCACTATAAGATTTAGAAATATTCGATTTGAAATGAAATAAAAAAAATCCAAAAAATGTCATATTTAAGTGGGTGATTCCGGGAAAATCGTAGGAGTTATTGAAAAAATGAGGCCAAAAACAACTTCTGGAGGTCGAAATGTACAGAAAAATGTCTCTAGTTTAGTCTCGAAGGTGGTCGAAAAAATCCGAATTTATTATTTTTATATTCCATTAGATATTAGATTTAACAAAAATCCAAAAAAATGTCATTTAAATGGACAATTCTGGAAACATAATAGGAGTTATCCAAAAATGGGGCCGAAAGTAAGTTCTGGAGTTCGAAATGTACAAGAAAATGTCTTTAATTAAGTTTTCAAGGTGGTCGAAAAATTTGTAAATTTTCATAATGAAAAATTTTGGTTTTGAAAAAGTTGTTCAAGCATTCTCAAAAAATTGTGAGATATAGGTTTCGACGTACAAATTCCGAAAATATAACGTTTCATGGTTTCAAGTCAAGATTTTATAAATATTCGGAATGAAATGAAATTTTTAAAAACGTCGTATTTCGATAGCCGATTTTGGCAAAATGTAGGAGTGTTCAAAAAAATAAGGCCCGAATAATTTATGGAAGTTGGAAAGTACAAAAAAATGTTGAAGGTGGCTGCAAAAATTAAAAATTTTCATAGGGATATATTGAAAAATTTTGGTTTTGGAAAAGTGCTTCAAAAGGCTTCAAAAAATGCTGGGAAATATGTTCCGACCTGCTGACTCCAAAAATATAGCATTGCGTGGTCCCACTATAAGATTTAGAAATATTCGATTTGAAATGAAATAAAAAATCCAAAAAATGACATATTTTAGTGGGCGATTCCGGGAAAATTGTAGGAGTTATTGAAAAAATGACCCCAAAAACAATTTCTGGAGGTCGAAATGTACATAAAAATGTCTCTACTTTAGTCTCGAAGGTGATCGAAACAATCCGAATTTATTATTTTCATATTCCATTAGATATGAGATTTTTAAAAAATAAAAAAAATGTGATTTAAATGGACAATTCTGGTAACATAATAGGAGTTATCCAAAAATGGGGCCGAAAGTAAGTTCTGGAGTTCGAAATGTACAAGAAAATGTCTTTAATTAAGTTTTCAAGGTGGTCGAAAAATTTGTAAATTTGCATAATGAAAAATTTTGGTTTTGAAAAAGTTGTTCAAGCATTCTCAAAAAATTGTGAGATATAGGTTTCGACGTACAAATTCCGAAAATATAACGTTTCATGGTTTCAAGTCAAGATTTTAGAAATATTCGGAATGAAATGAAATTTTTAAAAACGTCGTATTTCGATAGCCGATTTTGGTAAAATGTAGGAGTGTTCAAAAAAATAAGGCCCGAATAATTTATGGAAGTTGGAAAGTACAAAAAAATGTTGAAGGTGGCTGCAAAAATTAAAAATTTTCATAGGGATATATTGAAAAATTTTGGTTTTGGAAAAGTGGTTCAAAAGGCTTCAAAAAATGCTGGGAAATATGTTCCGACCTGCTGACTCCAAAAATATAGCATTGCGTGGTCCCACTATAAGATTTAGAAATATTCGATTTGAAATGAAATAAAAAATCCAAAAAATGACATATTTTAGTGGGCGATTCCGGGAAAATTGTAGGAGTTATTGAAAAAATGACCCCAAAAACAATTTCTGGAGGTCGAAATGTACATAAAAATGTCTCTACTTTAGTCTCGAAGGTGATCGAAACAATCCGAATTTATTATTTTCATATTCCATTAGATATGAGATTTTTAAAAAATAAAAAAAATGTGATTTAAATGGATAATTCTGGAAACATAATAATAGGAGTTATCCAAAAATGGGGCCGAAAGTAACTTCTGAAGGTCGAAATGTACAAGAAAATGTCTTTAATTAAGTTTTCAAGATGGTCGAAAAATTTCGAAATTTTCATACTGAAAAATTTTGGTTTTGAAAAAGTTGTTCAAGCATTCTCAAAAAATTGTGAGATATAGGTTTCGACGTACTAATTCCGAAAATATAACGTTTTATAGTTCCAGGTCAAGAAATATTCCGATTGAAATGAAAAATTTAAAAACGTCTTATTTCAATAGCCGATTTTGGCAAAATGTAGGAGTTTTCAAAAAAATAAGGCCCGAATAATTTTTGGAAGTTGAAATGTACAAGAAAATATCAAAGAGTTGTCCAAAAGCTCTCAAAAAATTCTGAGATATAAATTTTTATTCTGTTCTGGTGGACCCAAGAGCAGATTTTAGAAGTATTTGATTTGAAAAGATTTTTTTTTAACCCAAAAACTTCTAGAGATAAAAATATAGGTAGTAGAAAATGTTTTGGTTTGAGTTTCTAAGGTGATCGAATTATTTTCAACTATACAGAGTGTTCTATTCTATTTTTAAGGACTAACACAAAACTATTTTTTTTCAAATCGAATACCCTATACAATTTTCCATGTACTGATTGGTCTCTTCTTAGGCTTTATAACCATAGATTATTTTTGAAACGCCGATGAGACGTTGCCATATTATTCCAAATATTTTGATTTTTTTTACCAATGTAAGAATTTACAAAAAAAGTTGTAAAAGTTTTAAAGTTGTAACATTTTAGAATTTGACACTCTCAACAAAATATTGCAATATATATCTTAAAAATAACATTATTGCGACTTTTTGGGAATCCTTGAACTATTAAAAAATTCTAAGACATTGGAATAATGTGATTTTAAAAATAAATATCGTTATAGAAAGAAACTAAGGCGACTATTACGTAAAAATATATAAGGTGTTCTTCAAAAAGAAAACACTCTACAGGGTACTGAAAAACTATATTATTTTTGTCAATGATATTTTTTCTCAAATAATTAATTAGTTTTTATTTGTTGTTGATTGCTTAGAAAGTTTTTATTTTTGTTTATTGAAAATTTTACAGAATCAAGTTAACTCGGAACTCTTAACTGAGTGTTTATTTTGGATTATTTTAGTATTTAGTTTTTCAGTTTACTTAGAATTGTGCAATTTAAAAAATATTGGACTAGTCCACGTCTAAATTTGTGTTTCGTTTCCTATTTTATAAATCATCTAAAAAAATACAAAAGAAAATGTAATTTTAGACATCTCAAAATTCAAAGCGCAAATTTTTTTTATATTTCGATTTTACCAAAAATATATAGATATAGAAGTGTGCCTTAGTTCAATTAAGTTTGTGCTGAAATATCGAAACTACATCAATGGAGAACTTATACATTGTGTATGAAGTAATGATTCTGTGAACGTGATTTCTGTGCAGTATAGCCAAGTACGTAGCATACGTGATTTATCAGTGAAAAAAAGCTTCCTCAAACATCCAACTACAAGAGTTAACGATCTAGAGTATCATTAACCTATATAGTGGTGATCGTTATTTATAATTTCAACGCTCAGAATAACCGGGTGGGCGTCACAAAGCTCCACGTCCTTTGTAGTTCTAACTTCCATCGCAAATCTGAAATACCCGCATCCACTTTATCGAAATAACAAACAGAGAAAGGAACAAAGAAAATATACAGTAAACGAAAAGCAAACATTTTGGTTTAGAGTTTCCCATGATTAAAGCACGAAAGTTGCGATCGCCGATCATCGCAACGCATTATTAACCCTAAAAGAATTTTTTCCTATATTAATTAAATGATCTGCGGTGTGTTAATCAAAGCCAACTTTGAATCCGCATGTTTTCGACACGAACACGAGGCCTGAAGCGGTTGATTCATGAACCATCTATAATTTGTTAATCGTACAAAGTTCCGAAAACACCACTAAATAAGTACTCACGTCATTGTTGGCGTATGGGGCTATGGGTCCGTCGCTGGTTTCCCATTTGTTCGCGATCCGAATGGTCTCGGCGGTTTTCTCTTGCACGGATTTCGTTTCATCGAGGAGGGTTAATTCGTAGAACTCCTGGATATCTGGAAAAGATGAACGATTTAATACCATTTGTTACAGTCACAATAACTTTTTGTGATTAATGATATACATAATTAAAACTGTTCGTTCAACGCGGCCATTAATTAAGTTCGGGGAGTTGCGGCCCGGAATGACATCGACCGGATTGTTCCAGTCGGAAAAATTATGTACAACTTAGCGGAATGCACTGGAAAAAATGTAATTGGTGGAACGCAAACAAATTATTGATTGATTGTTTATAAAAAATGCGGTGTTTGGTTTGTGTATGTTGTGAAATATTGGGAAACTGCTGCAGTGTGTGTAAATATGGCGGGGTTTTTCTACTAGCCGAAAACGTGACGTTGTTCGAATCATAAATTTTTGCAGTCTGGAATATTTCTGAAAGACATAAAAATTTGATTGATGGTGAGAACTTTATGACTTTGTCTTAGTTCCAAAGCTGAAACTTTTTCGTAAGTTGGTCGTTTTAAAAAGTATTGAAAAACTTTGTTTACACTGAAGTGCCTGCTTACTTCCAGCTGCTTTGTTACAGCTTTTTGGGATTATTTATCTTTTAAAATTATATTTAATATTGTGGGCCTCGCAGTCGTCAATTTTTCATAAAACATGGGCCTGGTTTATAAATTAATTTTGTACCTAAACAAGGCAAAAAATAAAAAATTGGTCGAAGGTTATTTCGACAGAACTTCGTACAAGTGCAGAAAATATGAAATATCGGAATATCAAGAAATTGTGAAACCAAAAAATTTGAGAAATCGATAAAAAAGAAATTTAACAATCGAAAAATTGAAACAACAAGAAATTGAAAAATTCCAAACCTGAAATGAGGAAAAATTGACATTTCGAATAAATGAAAAACTTGAGCTTTAAGAAATTCGAAAATCGAAAAATCGAAAAGTTAAAAACTGAAAAATCGAGAAATCGAACAGTCCAAAAATAGAAACCTCGAAAACAAGATAAATGGAGAAATCGGAAACTTTAAAGTAAAAAAATATAAAACTGAGAAGTCGAAAATCATAAAATTTAAAAATTCAGAAACTTGAAAAATTGAAATATCAAAAGACTGAAAAATCGAGAAATCGAAAACTCGAAATCAAAAACTGAAAAATTGAAAAATAAACATTCCAAAATTTAAAATCGAAAAATCTAAAATCGAAAAAAACGAGAAATTGAACAGTCTAACACTGAAATGACGAAAAATTGGAAACTCGAAAATCCCAAAAATCAGAACTTCTGAAAATTGGAAAATCGAGAAATCGGAAAGTCGAAAAGTAGAAAAATCTAAAAATTGAAAAACTGAAACATTGAGAAACGAAACATTAAAAGATTGAGAAATCGAGAAGTCGAAAAATCGCAAAAAATTGAAAAATGAAAAATTTAAATTAAAAAATCCGATAAATAAAAAAAATTAAATTTCTAAAAATCGAAATATTGAAAAATTCCAAAACTGAAACATCGAAAAATTGAAAAATCGAGGAAAAAATGAACAATCGAAAAACCGAAATCAGAAAGTTCAAAAATTGAAAAATCTAAAATTTAAAAATCGAGGAATTGAAAAGTTGAAAAACCAACACTTCGATTAATTGAAAAAATTGAGCAATCGAAAAATCTACAATTCAGAAAAGTCAAAACTTCAAATAATTGAAGATTCAGGAAAAGATATGAGAAAATAGAAAAATCAAAAAGTTCAAAAATCGAGATCTGAAAAAATCGAAAAATCAAAAAGTCCAAAAGTCAAAAAAAAAATTGAATGATCGAAAAATTGAAAAATTCCAAAACTGGAACATGGATAAATAGAAAAATCGAAAAACGAAGAAATCGAAAAATTTAAAACCTGAATCAACGAGAACCGAAACATCAAGAGATTGAGAAATCGAGAAATCTAAAAATTTGAGAAAAAACTGAAAAATTTAAAATTAAAAAAGCGATAAATCAAAAAAATTGAAGATTCAATAAAAATCGAAACACTGAAAAATCCCAAAACTGAAATAATGAAAAATTTAAAAACCAGAGAAATCGAAATATCAAAAAATCCAAAAATTGAAAAATGTAAATTTAAAAATTGAAACATTTGAAAATCGAAGACAAAATTAACTGAAACATTGAAAGATCGTGAAACCGAAAAGTCGAGATATCGAAATCGAAAAATCGAAAATTCAAAAAATTGAAAAACTGAAAAATCAAAAACCTGTAAAATCGAAAATTGAAACATCGAAAAATTGAACAATTGAACAACCAAAGAATCGACAATCGAGAAATCGGGATGTCGAGTAATCGAAAAGTCGAAAAACAAAAATTCGATTGATTGAAGAAAATGAGAAATCGAAAAATCCACCATTTAGAAGCGTCAAAAATTTAAAAATTGAAAAATTGAAGAAATTAAAAATCGAAAAAATAAATAATCGACATATGAGAAAATCGAAAAATCGAAAAGTTCAAAAATCGAAGAAAAATTGAAGAATCGAAAGATTGAGAAATTCCAAAACCGGAACATGGGTAAATAGAAAATACGAAAAATTCAATAGTTGAGAAGTCGAAAAGTCAAAAATCGAAGTGGAAAAATCCAATACTAGAAAAATCGAAACATTCAAATCTCGGAACATGGAAAAATTGAAAAATAGAGAAACTTAAAAGCCGAAAATTAGAAAAATCGAAAAACCAAGAAATCGAAAAATTAAAAACCTGAATCATCGAGAAACGAAACATCAAAAGATCGAGAAATCGAAAAACCGACAAGTCGAGAAGTCGAAAAATCGAAAAAAATTGAAAAATGGAAACATTTAAAATTAAAAAACCGATGAATCGAAAAAATCTAAAACACTAAAAATCGAAATGTTGAAAAATCTCAAAGCTGATATAGAAAAGTTGAAAAATCGAAAAAAATTGAACAATTGAACATTGACAAATCGAGAAATCCAAATATCAGAAAATCGAAAAATTGAACAATCGGTAAAAAGAAAAGTCGAGAGATCGAAGTCGAAAACTCGAAAATTTAAAAAATTGAAAAACTGGGAAAATCTAAGATTGAAATATCGAATAATTGAAGAATTGGACAACCGAAAAATCGAAAAATCGAGAAATCGAAAACTTGAAAACCGAAAATTCGATTAATTGAAAAAATTGAGAAATCTAAAAATTTACAATTCAGAAACGTCAGGAATTGAAAGAATTCCAGATTCGGGAAAATAAAAAGTGGAGATATGAGATAATCGAAAAACCAAAAAGTTCAAAAATCGAGATATGAGAAAATCAAAAATCAAAAAGTTCGAAAATCGAAAAAAATTTGAAGAATCGAAAAACTGAATAATTCCAAAACTGGAACATCGATAAATTGAAAGATCGAAAAATTCAAAGATCGAAAAAGTCGCAATATCCAAGATTTCAAAAATTTTACAAATCGAGAAAGTAAAGAATCGATAAATCGAAAACTGGAAAAAAATAGTCGAAAAACTGAGAAATTAAAAAATCGGAACATAGAAAAATTGATACATCTAAAAATTCAAAACCCTTAAGTTGAAAAATCGGAAATTTAAGAAATCGAAAAATTAAAAACCTGAATCATCGAGCAACAAAACATCAAAACATCGAGAAATCGAGAAATTGAAAAGTCGAGAAGTTGAAAAATCGAAAAAATTGAAAATTTGAACAATTTAAAATTAAAAAACCGTAAATCAAAAAATTGAAAATTCTAAAAATTGAAATATTGAAAAATTCCAAAACTGAAATATCGAAAAATTGAAAAATCGAAGAAAAATTGAAAAATCGAAGAATTGCAAAATTTAAAAACTGGAACATCGGTAAACAGAAAAACCGAAAAATTCAAAAATCGAAATGTCTAAAAATCGAAAAATTCAAGAATTTAAACATTTTAAAAATCGAGAAATTGAAAATTGGAAAGACCTAATAATTGAAAAACCGAAAAATTTAAAAGCAGAAAAGTAGAAAAATCGAAAAACCAAGAAATAGAAAAATTAAAAACCTGAAACATCAAAAGATCGAGAATTCGAGAAATCGAAAGTCAAAAATTTGAAAATTTAAAAATTGAAAAACTGAAAATATGCATTTAAAATTTAAACGCCGATAAATCAAAAAATTGAAAAATTGAGGAATTGAACAATCGAAAAATTGAAAACATCGAAATCCCGATAAATCGAAAAATCAAAAAAGAAATCTAAAAATCGAAAAGTCAAACATTTTTAAAATCGCAAAATTTTAAAACCAAAAAATCTAGAACCGAAAAGCCAGAAAATTAAAAGATCGAGAAATCGAAAAATCTAAAAAGCTGAAAAATCTAAAATTAAAACATTTGAACAATGAAAAAATAGAAATATTGGAAGAATTGAAACATTTCAAAATCTAGACATCGAAACATCAAAAAATCAAAAAATTTAAAAATTGAGAAATAAAATTCTAAAAATCAAAAAACTAAAAATCGAAAATGTTAAAAATCGTAATACTGAAAAATCCCAAAACTGAGAACTTGATACATACATCAGAAATCTAAAAATTGGAAAATCCCAATACTGAAACATCGGTAACTTGTAAAATCAAAAAACCGACAAGTCGACAAATTGAAACATGGAAAAATTGAAAAATCTGGAAATCGTGAAGTCGAGAATTTGAAAAGTTGAAAAACCAAAAATTCGATTAACCGAAAAATTTAAAAATCGAAAAGTCTAAAATTGAGAAAGGACAAAAATTTGAACAATGAGAAGTGCAAAAATTTAAAAATTGATAAAATAAAAAATCGAAAAGTCGAAAAGTCGAAAAATTGAAAAATCGAAAAACTGAAAACACTCGAAACCAAAATATCGAAAAATCTAGAAGTATAAGAAAAATTGAAGAATCGAAAAATTGAAGAATCCCAAAACTGAAACGAAATATCGGTAAATGAGAAATCCGTAAATGGAAAAAAAATGGGAAACGAAAAGTCAAAGAGTCAGATACATGAAAAACTGAAAAATCGAAAAATCGAGAAATCGATAAAAACAATTGATTAATC